TATATATATATATATATATATATATATATGTATATATATTGTAATAGTGGTCCGTTCTGGTGTTCTGTCAAATACTTCCGGAATTCCAGTGAACATATTTTTGGCCATCAAATTCGGGCATCATGGTAGATATTGCGATCTATATTTGATGATTTTATGCAGATTACTGTAATTTCATTTTGGTAAATATGATGAAAATTTCGTTTTTCTTAATTAGCCCTAACACCATTAATATTTACTTACCATTCACATATAAGCATTACCTTTTTTATAGCATTCGAATTTCTTACTTGAAGCGGATACTGCGAGTATGAATATTCTACTAGTGCAATCAGTGATAAAACTAATTCTTTTTCACCTTCAATCTTTTAGCTACTGACTAGCCTTTCCATAACTTGAGGTTGACTCAATTTTCACGGAACGAACCATTGTGGTTCAAAAAGACGAACTTCTCTTTCAATTTCTATCATCGATGAACAGATGATTCGCTATGAGAGCGAACGTATAGAAGATGATAACAGTTTAGACTGTTTCGCAGGAAAGTTTCTTAAGTCCAATCGATTGGAACCGTCATACATTTTAGTGATAAAAATATTCTTTGACCTTAAAGTCAAATTATTACTAGTCACTGGAAAAGGATAATCTAATAATAAGACCCCGATGCTGAATTTTAAACAAGCGTGATACTTGTGGGACACTTCGTCACGGGCGCACATTATGCTTAAGGTGCGGCGTGCAACCTCGTACACGGATTGGTTGTGGAGAAGCACAGCCAATGACCAATAGAAATCCTGCTACAGAACACTACTCAGAGATATTTAGCTATTAATGTTCACTCGAATTAGGCTAGATTTATCTGATAACTAATCGTTTTGCCAAAATCACAATTCGCTATCAATATATGTACTGAATAAACGTGCTCCGTGCTACACGTCTGTTTCCTTTATAGCTGGGCTATAGCTTAGCTTGTTCCGGGAGTCAAGCTAGATGTTAGAGAATCTGCCATAGAAATTTCTGAGTCGGTCAGGCTTAACTAGCGTAGCAATCCGCTACAGACTCATTTATCCTCCGAGGATCAGACTAATGAATAATTTACATTCATTTATTTTTTAGTAATTCCATATAAACTTATCCAAAATGCCAATTTCTGGCTGGTTAAATTCATCCTATTTGTAGAGGATCCAGGTAAAAATTTTCAAAGTACATACGAATGAACTATATCCGCTGATTTATTTGTTTCATAGTAGCGCACATTAAGACATTATCTCGTCTGAAATATCCCGAAATTGCCAAATTACACTAGCCATCTATATAGTATCTTGTAGACAATTAAATATCAGACCGTTGCCACAATAAAATTGCACTCATTTCCCTACCTGGAATCCCGTGACATCACGATAAGAACCTTGTCTCTTGTGTCCTAATATTCATATGGGGACCCATATTTTGGACAAACAATTTAGAATGTTCATCTACTCATCTCAAGAGCGCCAATGAGCACAACTCCATTCCCATTTCGTCTGTCCTTATTCCATTGACCTTGTCCGTCTTTTTTTGATTTTTCCACTTTATATCCGTCAGATTCAACAAATTTTATATTTTAATGGAGAGTTAACTGCGAAGAACAAAACAATTAGGAGTGAGTTCAATTGAAATTAATAAATGCCAGAACTCAACTAAGGAAATGGGGAAAAATTAAACATAAAAGTTGCTTTCCTTAAACTGAACTTAAAATCTTTCAGGTGCAAATTCACCTTGGTGATATTAACGACAATGCTCCAACATGGCTTTTCCCTCCAGAGTCGAACATGGTGGTGAATGTGACAATACATGAACCGGTGGGTCATCAAGTTGCTCTTTTGCGAGCCAGTGATCCAGACCTTGGTGAAAATGGACAGATAGTGTTCAAGATCATGCATTTCTCCATACGCTCAACTTCCTCAATGACAGGTGAAGGTCGTAATGAAACTCTTGCAGAAAACGAGGCAGTAAAACATGAAATGTTTGAGTTAGACCCATCTACTGGAGCTCTTTATATTGCTCGTCATATGAGACCTGATGACATTGGCCTAGTAAAACTTCTTATTGAGGCGAGTGACATGGGAAAGCCAAATAAAACTAGTCATCGGACGATTCTTTTCAATATAATGGACTTCCAACGACCAAAGTATAACGACAATGGCAACAGTAAAAGTGGAGCCCAGTACACACCTGGGGGTCCAGGATTTCAACACCATGATTTGGTTGTCATTGTCGTGATGGTAGCGGTGGCGATAGTAATATCGCTTTTCCTGATTATCGCGATGCTGTTCCTCCGTTGTCCTGTGTGCTTGTTCCATGATCGGTCAAGGAGTAACTACAATAATATCCATCAAAGTGGTGTGGGCTTTCCTGGGAATCAGACATTAGGACCCCAACATGAAGCCTACTTGCCAGAAGTTTTTAGAGATTCGCACACAATTGGAACTCTAGGTGGAAAGGATGGTTCATTAAACAGCGGAGAAGAGACGTTGTTCTACCAGACAGACAGAGACAAAATCATCCCTTCTCGAGGGTCAGCCTCGGGAAAAAATATCCTCACAATCGATTATGATGGGACGCTTCAGGATGGAACTTTGTCACAATATCCACAAAATCGTCAATTTTTCATTCTCACAAAACCAGATGGAAACTATGCTGTTAGTATGGAAGGCCCTCCGATTGAACTCTCGACTCTTGGTAATTTCTAGTTCATTTTAAGATACCACTTTACGTTTTGTAATTTTGAGCTCTGAGCATAGACATAAGAATATTTGATCACGTGAAAGGAAGTAGAGGCTTAATTCAATTGACTCTTTTTCAAAATCATTTGCTATGGAAGATTTTCATTAAAATTAGAAACGCGCTTAAAGTGAATTGTGTCATAATAGATGTCTACTTTCCACGCTCCTAAAGCATTTTTTGCTTTCACAACATGATTATCCTAGCAAAAACAATGAGGTCGGGATCTCTTTCTTCTTCTTGGAAGGCTTTCAATTAATTGAAATTAGGCGCTATGGGAATGTGATATCTTTTCGGAAGCACCTTAACTAGATTAGATATTAATTTACTGCCTTAAGCAGTGAATCTAATCTGTTTTTAAACGAATAGCATGATTCAAGCACTTGTTATCAATAAGTTGAAAACAGTTTTTATGGTTGATAAAGGTGGCATATTTGCTATTGAATACGTGGGCTGAAAAACGCCTTAACTTAAATGAATTACTGCAATTTAAAGTATAACTAAATTCAACCAAGCATATTTGTGGATAATTAAAAGGCATCTAGTTAAGTCGAGAACGCCTATAAGTGATTGAAAAGTCACCCTCCTGTTTCCTTCTTTCTAAGCTGTCAGGCGAAAGTCAACTGGCCAAATATAAGAAAATTCAGGCTCCAAGTGTCATTAATCATGTGTCAGGCTAATGTGGCTTTCTAGCCCTACCACCTAATTAGAATGGCAAAAACACACTTGGAAAGAAGGCGAGGTAGGAGTGGGGGGGGAGGCTGTTGAATGTTTATAAGTGCGTGGCTTCACTAGTATGTGGTAAAGAAGACACGATAGCAATGTGGCAACACCTGACGCTAAAATATGTATCCTACCATTTTCATCTTTTCACCGCCACTTCTTCCGCCCTCGTCTCCCCCTTGCCCCCC